TCATACCAAATGCAGAACACTTCTGTGCCCTTCTCCTGTGTCACCAATGAGCTTGCTTTCTCCAAAGCAATTAGATTCACTAAACCCATATTTGCACTCTGTAAGCACAATACAAGACACACAGCCTACAAATGTTTGCATCTCTGGAAGAGTAACATAAAGGAAACCGTAAGCTAATGGGGAATATTTCCAAGAAGGAAGGCAATAACTTCAGCTACTAAAAAGATACCCATGGAATTCCCATTCTCACTAAAACCATCCATTTTCACATGCTACTGCATGTCTGCAAGTTGTACATCTCTAAATTCAGTAGATCCAGATTGCATTATCACTCAGTTTGCAAAATGTAGAAGACATCAGATAGCATGTGAAAAATGTATGCTTGGAATGATCTATTTATACTAAAACCCTACATTTCATCAGTAGCCTGGGCCACAGGGAAATTGAAGTTGTTATCCTTACAAAAATGGTGAAATACTATTTTTGGTCCTGTCATGGGAATTTCACATACAGTAATTTATGAAAACTTACCTTCTCATAGAATATGACCGTGACTTTGTCTTCAAGTATGGCAGTGAATTTAAGGACCAGTTAGAGAGAATTACATCCTACAAAGTATTTTCAGGCTTCTTTTTCTTTTATTTTTTTTTAACAATGATATGAGCAGGTTTTTCAGAGAAAGAGTTGCTTCATTTTTTGCTATTTAAAGAGACAAAGCTGACCTGATACCAATTAGCAAAAGAGATTTTTACATAACTTTAAGCAAGGAGCTAGCTTTGAACTGAAAATTTACCCTGCAACCATAGCATTACTGTTGTATACATACGAAGAAAAGAGTTCAACATCTCAAGTTTTGACTGTGAAACTATAATATTCAGTAAGGAAAGCTTACTACATAGTTGCATTTACAGTTATGTACACTTTTGTTGGTTTCACTGCATTTTTAATATATTTCATCCCACAATATATTGTAAAACTACGTCATTCACTCTTCACAATTTCTTTCACTTTGAGGTGCAACATGCATAGAAGGTTAATGATATCATATGATATGTTTTTATTGTATGTTTTTATAAGCTAAAAAAAAGAATCCAAACAAAAACTTCTGTACTTACTATAGAAATGGCAATCTATCCCAACTGTAATAATGCAATTCAAATATTTGGCATAAAGGTAGGTGGTTTTCCTCTGATCTCTAGGGATGCAACTTACAAATATTCATGCATGCGACTACTCTCACAAGTGGGCTTTGACTTTTCATTTCAAGTAAATCCATTGCAAAATTCATTGCTGCTTAATTTCTTGTATTTTCTGAGCTGACAATAGAAATTTTTTAAAATAGAAAAGCAAAAAAATCCCAAAACACACAACAACTTAACTTACAATCCTTCAAATTGAAAGGATTTGTGAGACCCCTAAGAACCTACAAATTACTGTTAAGGAAAAATACCTGGGGGGGCGGGGAGGAGCGGGGATATCACCCAATTTACATCTTTTCTTACCAAACAATGCAATTTGAAAAATTCTTCTTTCATGTCTACTACTGCGCATTCTTTGCATTAGATTATTTCTTCTTCTTACCCTAAAGAACATACAGATCTTGTGCTTACACGAAGGCCTTCAGTGGACCTTTTATACAAGATAAATCAACAGCTTAGAGTTCAGTCTGACCTAACATCCTCATGCAGAAGAAAAACAGCACTCTACACTTATTTTCTCATTTGTAATAAAGGTTCATCAAAATTTCCTCAACCTTTATGACAACATAAACTAAACCTTAATTGAACTAATCTTTGAAATACAGATCTTCAAAGTCCCAGCTTGAAGAAGCATCACAGACTATTCAAAACTCTGGCAGAGGTGGAGAAGGAGGTGTTGAGACTAAAAATATGTTCATTACTTCTCAGGACGGAACTGATAAAATCTCTCCTGCAGCAGAGGAAGTTACCAATCAGTGAATAAACCACTATCTTTCAGTAGCTCTTAGGTAAACTTATCTGTTACTAATTTCCCTGTTACTTTACCCTGACTATCAGCAACACAATTCCTACCTATTTTGCCAATCTGTAGCAGAACAATAAATGAAGCCTGGGAAAGTTAACAAGATGACAAACAAGGGCTTTATACATAAGCATAGTAATTCATAAATCCAAAGAACAATTCTACTAGATTAATTATTTTCTAGTGCTTGAACAGCATGTGTCACGGTCATAAACTGCATGTACAGCTGGCTAGAAAACAAGCCCTGCTAAACATGGTGGCTTCCCGTTAATAGGCCCAACACTAAACCTGTTTGGAGGTTCCACCACAATGCTAGATGGCAATTGTACTGGGGTATGACAAACATCTCTCCTCATCTTTGGGTGTGTTCTCTGGCCAGACTATAAGTGTCAAGATCCCCCAGCCCCATCTCACTGAGCCCCTATGGCTGACTATAGGAATTCCCAGGCCAAAGTCCATCTTCTGAGACGCAATTTAGCTGAACCTAAAAACCACAGTGAAGTACGGAGCCTTCTGAATACCAATAAGCACGACTCTTATTGAGGCATAGAAGCACTTTCTGGGGAGCTGGAGATTCTTTCATAGTGTTTAATGTGTTTCATTCAACACAGATGGAGAAAAACTCACGTTGTCAAAAACCCTTAGTGCTCTGCTGGGAAAAAGCTGCTTGTAAAATGGAAATGGGTAAGATTTTATTTTGTGAGTATGCCTGTTTTGATGCATCACTAAATCTGTCATTATCCTTTAGCTTAGGGTTAAATGTAAAACAAAAGAGAAAGCAAGGAAAAGCAGTTGTCTGAACATGCTCGAGAATCCCTGTATACTCTGCCTGTGCATAAGGCTTCTAAGTTACAGCACATTACTAACACTTGTGTAACTGCAGCCATTAAATCTTCCCTTGCTAAAACTTAAAATACTATAGGTGAAATAAACGTGATTAGACTAAAAAGATTTGCTGACATATGCTCTCAAGAATAGAGGTAAAAAACAAAAAAAAACCCAACACTTAAGAAAATGAGGAAGGATACCTACCAAAAGCATGCACACAAAAAAACAGACCTTCCTAAAAAAGACAGCAAATCTCAGCAATTGTAAGTTTCATCACCTGCCATTGAAGCAATATTAATTCTAAAAGATAAGAATATATTGCATACACATTATATGTACATCCACAGGTGAGGAATGAGCAAGTAATTAATAAACAAGATAAAAATGCCTTTGCATTTGATGCAGTTATCTTCTAAACTATTAAATACTAGGTAGAGAGAGGAATAGATAGCATGCCTCTTCCAAGTGCAATGACAGCAGTTCACAGTGGTCACAGGAGAAAGGTCTCAGGAACTGCTGAAGCAGTACCTCCCTGCATGGGCAGAGACAAGAACACCCCAAGCTGAGCTGAGGCTGCTGAACAACTGCAAGGGGTTATGCTGACATTCCCCTTGAGCCTTAGGAACCTCACAACTCGCTCCAGCAGAAAAGGACTAGAGTCCTTCTACGCCAGCAGGCACCAAAACCGATACTTCTATCTGATAATATTGTACAATTGTTTATGCCATATCATGGGTTGCTCCTATCACTAGCTTATCCAGATACTGACATGAGAAAGTAGTGCTAAGATTTATTGTTTCCTGTGATTATAGATACAGAGAAACCTTTAAGTTGATAACAGTCGAAGAAAATTTAAAAATAAATGCCAGCATATTCTATCATAGATCAAAAAAAGAAACAAACAACCCTAGAGCCTGAACATCCATTTCAAATAAGCTAGTTCACTAACAGTACAAAATCTGGCAACACAGCTTCCAAAAAATACAAGTAGGGACTCAAAGAAAAAGTGGACTGATACAAGAAGAGGGTTGGAGTGTGCATATATAGTGTTTTAAATTGCCTCGACAAGATCCCTGAGGAGCAAAGAAACAAAGAAAGAAAGAAATCAAATAACTAATGCCATTTTAACTGTGCATGTTACACTGGACAACATTTAAAGATCAAGGGCCTTTTCTTCTCTGCCTTTCTAAGCTTTGACGCATTCTAAAGGGTCAGTGTTTTTATCAAGTTTTCCCAACTACCTTTGTAAGCACTCAGCTTGCATGTGCCCCTAGCATTACATCACAGTAGTTGAGAGCATGAGCCAAATAAATGTTCCTACAAGCTACAAGTACAATTAAGGGACCTTTCATAAAGCATGTCCCTCAACACAATGAGGTGTGAGACAATTTTTAAACAGTTACTGTGGCAATAAAAAGCTGAAAAGATAGGGCTATCAGATCACAAACTAGGGAGAGGGGGAAGATTAAAATGATCCAATTCTACACATAGAGTGAGAACAAAAAAATTATTTGGGGCTTCATACAGAATATGCTGGACCAGCTGAATATCTTCCCTTGGATTTGACAAGTTTCTGGAACAAGTCTGCCGAGGTTTTCAATGTGGGGAGATAGTTTCACTAAAGCTCCAGTTCGCTCACAAAAATAAGCTAGGACCACTGAGATAATCCTAACCAATTAATCACGGCCATGAGCCTGCATCACAAATTCACCATCACGTTGGCATGGCCCTACACTTCAAACTTGAGTAGGTATTGTGCTGGACATCAGGACTGGTGTTAGAATAATGGCTTTTACTACCTTAGCCTCAGTGCTCTGAGGCTGAGTTTTGGCAAGATGTAAAACTACATCCTGAATTCATTCAGATATCCTTCAGGAAACACTCACATCATTCACTGTAGTCAAAAAAATATTTTTCTTGGAATAGCCTGCATTTGTCCTGATCATATCGTGCCTCTTTGTACAGCATAACACCTGAAGTCAGTTTTAGATAGCAGGAAAGAAGCTGAAAGCTGTAGCTTCACACAATGCAAGACAGTTTCATAAAGAAACAAGAAAGAGATGAATTGCGACAAAGTGCCTCACAACATCTGTAGACAACGGGAGACCAATTTAGATGGTATCTACAAAACATGTTGGGAGTCAAGGTAAAGATGGCAAAAAGGAACTTACTTGATTTTACTGAAGACAATGTCAACATCTGTGATTGTCACGTTCTTCCCGTCTATCACATGACAGTCCTTACATAGCTTTGACCAGTTCTTCCCATGCATTTCTTTTCCTGTGGCTCTTGTATCACCATGGATGGCAAATTTTCTAAAGGCCTCTTCCAGGGCACTTAATTCTCCTGCCATAGCTCCCTCATGGGAGCTGTTTGAATCACAGGATAATCGTTTTGCTGCCCGGTCCTTTGCTGGATCTGAAGGAGACTTTGGAGGAGTCTTATTCGCAGGTTTGGTCGACTTCGCTTTATTGTCAGCCATTGTGCTACAAAGAAGAGGAGGGTAAACTCATTACATTAATTTGCACTAGTTTACCTTCTGTTAGGCTACAGGCTACAGTCCACGTCACCACATATGAAGAACAGCTGATCTACAGAGTTAGCAAGAAGTTAAGGTCCTCCACCACCAAACAGCAGTCTATACATAAAACTCTGCCCATCTAGAAAAAGATTCTAGCATATTAAAAAAAAGGCGCAGGGAAAGAACACTGCAAAATAGGGCACAAAGCTAATTTCACCATCATTACATCAGCCAGCAAGAGAACACTTAGTGTTTGTTGGGGACTTTGTTTTGGTTTTTTCCCAATAGCAATCACCACAGTCTCTCTACTGATTTGAATAAAAGTATGCCCTTTACATTGTAGGCAAAACTACCTACTTTTATTTCTGATGGAAAAATAATCAGCCCTTTATTTTCTTGGGTTTGGCTTTTTAATTATTTTCTATTGAAAAATGAAATATTTTGAAAGTGCAGCAAGAATATTACTGTTATAACCCTTATGTTACATAATGTAAGGGCTAACATGTAAGGAAGACTCAGAAACACTTAGACAAGTCTCTCTTGCTAACAAACCATTAATTTCTCAGGTTTATGCCCTAAGAACTGTAGCTGTGGAACTCATTTGCAATGAATACATTCATGATGCAGGAGCACTGAGAATGGATGTCATTACTGTGGAGTACAGCTTTGACATTACCCTGTGTTCATGTAGTACAGGTTTGTCTTTTAAAAGAAACCTTAAGCCGAGCAACAGAACACTGATGATATTTTCAGGTGTCTTCACAAAGAAAAACCCCTAACACGGCAGAAGCATGCCACAGAAGCCTTTGACTTCTGCCCATCCCCTCTCAGCACGGCAGAAGAGGCACTGAAGAGCCTAAGGATAAGGGCGTACTGTGTGTCTGTCCCAGCAGCTACATGCAGACTGTTGTCACACTCACACTTGTGGTGCTGCTACAAATTTTAACCCATAAAGACATGGCTCAGTTATCAGAAGATTGGCAAATGCTGGATAAGGGCTGGAAAGCCCACCACATCTCCTCCATTCTTCTAAAGTCACAGCTGCACATGTATGTGACTAACATATGCAAATATTAGCAAGTATCTCGTTAAGGTTTTATTTCTGCATTAGATAGAAAGTTTGTTTGGCTTATATACTGTGCTCCAATACAGACTCCTCAGCAATAGAAACAATTCTAAAATACTAGCTCTTCTGATATTGCTTAATCTCTGTCACTTGAACAACCCTTTCCTTCCCACTGCAACAGAACTACCCATAACTACTCACTATGCAGCAGTTACTGTTCAGCCTCATGATCAGAAACAATCTTTTAATAAAAACTATACTAAAGGACCTTTGTCCCTTCCACTTGAGCAAATGTGGCATGACCAAAGTACTATTGTGTATTTTTGAAAGCATGCAAGTAAATACTTAAGAACCTTGTTATATCTTAAGCCTGGTGATCCTTCTGTTTTGTTTACACTGTCAGCACATGTTTTGGCCAAGAAACCAAGATGCTAAATTAAAATTAATATGACAGGAATTTACTAACTGTAGCCTGAGAGTTATATGTGCACCTGTGAAATAAGAAGAAAAGCATGAGGAAAAAAAAGTTTGAAAAGTTAAAAGTTCATTAAAATGTTAAAAATTTAACCAATCCCCATTCCTTTGTGTCCTGCCTGCTCTCCAAAGTACAGCAATTTTACCTCAATGAACTTTTGTGAAAGTCTCCCAACACTGAAACTCTAAAACAATAAGCACCAACAGTAAACTGTAATCTTCTACAAGTATTACAGATGCATACATTTTTACCAAAATAGTGGTTAGGTCAGTCTAAACTGATTCATCAGGCTACACACGTTTGGTACCAAAACATAAGAAGAAAACAAAAACACTGCTGACACAATCTATACAAAAGAGAACTACATTAAAAACCAGAGCATGAAGATCTATGGTCTACCTCTGTCTCTGAGGAAGCTTGACTTCAAAAAGCAGAAGGCTCTTCCAAGCTTGCACCACTTCAAATCCACTGAGCCAGAAACTAGAATCAGACATTTTCCAAGCTAACACTAACTGGAAAAAGGCAGAAAGTACCCATCAGCAAAAAACAAAGTCTGCATTTTAATGTCTGCATAAAACATTAAAAACCAAAGTTACCCCCATAAGCAAGTAACAGGACAGAAGAAGGTGGAGATCTGCCATAGTAAGGTATGGGCAGCTCATATAATTTTGCAATTTTATTTTGTGCCAAATAAACCGTTCAAGAGATTTTTGGGAGAGAGTTCCCTCTTGCTCTTATCAATTCTGTCAAGAATCTATACTTTGTGTGAGTGTCCTTGAATGATACAGTAATTGTACAGTTTCCAAACTATAAGCAAGAAAACCTCTGTGCCGCTCAGTCTCATCTGCAATTAGAAAAAATAACCACGTTTACATTTTGAAGTATCTCCTGAACAAAATCTTTCTTTAGCCAGTGTCAGTGTCTTGCTGGCCAACTTTGCCTAATCCCATGTCACCCACAACCATAACTCAACTTCGCACAGCACAGCAGAAATGCTTTTTAAAAAGCAACTAGTGATATCAAATAATGAGCTGAAACCCACGACTGAAAGGGTTTTGATTTTCTGAATCGTGAGATTTTTTTAAATGACATTATTTTTTGCCCATACTACTGTCTTATACTGTCTTCAATATGATAGCTACATCTATTGAAAGATACTATGTTACTTACTTTCAGTTGCTAATAAATTAAAATTTTATAAACTTGGTGTAGGAAAAACGCTGAAAGGATATTTGGCTCTGAGAAAGAAAGTTCACTTCTAGACTTAGTACTCTCAGACATCAATAAATGAACTTTGTATTGGGGTGTTCTGAGTAATTCTGGGTCATGGGGGAACAGGTCACACTCTATAGAAAAGGCTTCACTTTCGAATAGTGAAATCTGGTATGCAAAGCAGACTCATTTCAAAGAAATCCTCACCATCTAAAGCAGAAGGTCAAGGGAAGATTAAAACTAGGGCTCTGCTGTGGTTGCCAAAAATTGTTATGGATATTCCTTTTCTGGTTGAACCATAATTACAGTTTAGTTGTTAAAAACCCTCATAATAGAATGAAAATCACTAAAAAGAAGCAACCTGGAGTGAGCTCCTTCAACTTTTTTTAGCGATTAGAGAGGAGGAAGGAGATCATGCCATGCTGAAGAAATGATGTCTCAAAGCAAAACACAGAATAACTTGTTTGCTAAAAATTCAAGATCAAATGCAGTTTTGAGTCTTCCTTACCCTTTTTTACCTGGACAAAGGGATGAGAAGTTGCTTGCTAGCTTCTGCTAGAAGTAATGCTACATTTCCAGAACCAGCAGGGGGAAGGAAGGAGGGACTAGCCACCAAGCTCATCCTGTCCAAATACTGCTAGCTCCAGCCTAGCAGGTCCACATCACCAAAAGAAGCCATATAAGACAATAACAAAGAGGTATAAGCAGAAGTTCATTAAAAAAAAAAAAAAATGAGTTCTAGAAATCCACAGAATATTTAGACAGCTAGGTGTTGTGTTATGAACTGCTATAGTCTGTGTCACATAATACTCCAGTATCATGAAACAACAGTTCTTGTCCCAACTCACTCTGCAATAGGTAAATAATACAGCCCATTATACAGACAGAGGTATCTGCATAGACAGAGATTAAGCTAGGGATTAAACTGACTGAGGTCATGACTAACTCATGCTAAAATAGACTGAAAATGCAGATCCGTGTTCTCAGCACATGCCTAACCCATTAGAAAAAAAGTTTTCTCGTATCATCAAACTTCCTTGCAGCCAGAGACTACAATACATACTAATCTGCAGAGATCCATCTGGGAGAACTCCCCTAGATAAAGTCACATATTCATCTGGATTCTTCTAAAAGTGAGCGGACAAGCAGCTCCTGTTTCTGTGAATTCCAGCTGCTGATAAATAAGTACACATAAATAAGCCCAAAGCCTCAGTACTGACCAACCATCAGCTCTACTGAGATATTCATGTTAACTTTTTTTTTTCACTTATCCACATCTTCTCCAGGAGTCAATATATCACAGGAATTCTGGTACGGCTTTGAGTTAGATTTGGAGAAATTGCTCTTAGTAGTAAACAGTCTCTCAGCATCAACACAGAAGACCTGAAGACTTACTAAAACCCAGAGTATTTCTGCCAACAATTTCAGCAGCTTATGCAACTCTATGGAATACACATGTATCCTACTTGGTCAGAATTCACTGTGGTACCTTCCCTGCCCTGTCCCTGAAAACGAACGCATGGCTAATCTGCTCAGGAAGTGCAGACAGCTTAGTATTTGTAACACAAGTTAGCATAGCTGCCATGTCACAGACAGGGAAACCAAAGCAGGGGGATGAGGAAACATGTCTGTTCTGCTGCCGGAGTTGACAACAAAATGAGGACCCTGGGACCCGTACTCTACACTGCTTTCACTATTAGGCCACATAAAGTTACATGATTGTATGGAGTGCTCTGAAGAGCCAATATTCTCTGACTCTGTGGAAGAAACATAAATATAGCCTCAGTAGTTGCAAATGTGTTAACCCAGTTTACAATCTCCCAAAAAAATGCTTTAAAAAAAATAAAATAAATCAACGGGAAACTATCAGAAGTGTGAATGCCTAGTTTTTTGGGCTACACCATGTGCTTTCTCATCTGCTTTGTCTAGCTTGCCTTTAGCGTGCTAGGAATATTCTGTCCTGATATAAATTGAATTGCTTGCATTTGCAGCAAGCGTTACAAAATCAGTTTTTAATGGAGGTCTTTTCTTGCAGTATTAAATGCCACAGAAATTAGTAAGAATGTATTTGTTTAAGACAGTACAAAAGACTAGAACACTACAGTAGATACTTACTACAGCCTCGGAAACAACCCAGTTAATAGAAAAGGCAGCTTATTTTAAAACTGTTTGTTCTTTAGAGTGTTTACCAACCAAGAACTGGCTAAA